AGCACCGTCAAAGCTCCGACCACCATGAAGCATCGATGCTCATCTTCTTCCTCTGTTCTTTTTTTTTTTGTTATGAAATTGGTTCCTTCTGCTTTATCTTCGCACTCACTGACGCACGCACCAATCGGACCAGAACAAACATCAATCGCACCAGAACACACAGATCTCACCCACCACCGCGCGCACTAATCGGACCAGAACAAACATCAATCACACCAGAACACACAGATCGCACCCACCACCGCGCGCACAATCGTACCAGAACACACCCACCGCCGCACGCACCAATCACATCCACACTGCCGCACAGCCATCGCACTAGAATAACGAAAGAGGAAAGATCTACCGGTGAGACCATTCGATTGTTGGCTGGACGTAGCCACGGTTGGAGCCTTAGCACGGTGTCGTAGCTCCGATGGATCACAGCACCACCATCGCCCAAAAACCCACCATCACGGAACCCGCCGCCGTTCGACATGAGGACCCTTCCCGCCGCCAGAGAGAGAGATAGAGAGATGGGGGACGGGTGAGGGATTTATGCTGGACTTGTGAGAAGTTGGGGATTTACGGTTGGGTAGGGTTATAAATTAATTTTTATAGTATTATTATTAATATTTAATTAAATATAAAAAACCTGTATGTATATATAAAATATCTGATTTTTGAAACTTAAACCTTAAAATCTGATTTTAGAAATTGGATCTCCAAAAGTAGGGCTCCATGTAATTTCCACAAAATTTAAAATAGGTCCACAATTCGTCAACTCTATGTCAATGGAAAGTTAAAGGAAAAAAAATACGTAAATACCATAGTTTCAACTTCCAAGTTACACTTTCTAATTTACAAAAATTATATATATTTTTAAAAAATAAATCAAGTAGTTATATATTATGACCTCTAATAAAATTTTGTGACATTTATTTAATCAAATAGGTCACTATCACATACTAATTACAAATAACTGAAGATTACGTCATAAATACATTCACAATTCCATATTTTAGTTACAAATCACTATTTAATATGTTACAAATTATTTATTAGTCACGATTATTTCAATTAATTGGTCACCCCTCCACACCCCACCGCACCGACACTACTCAAATCGTTGTCTTCGCCTCATATCCATAATCCCTCACCACCAACACCTCCAACTCCAACCTACAACTACCTCAAACCTACTACTACCACTACAACCTTCATCTCATAGCCTATCATTCCATCATTTCTTAATAGGAAGGTTTGAAAATAGACGAACCATTGGCTTCACAGTTCAATTCGACAGTGCTTCGTCTGTCACCTGCGTTGATCGTGCGACAAAAATGACATGGAGAAACGAAACAAGTCCATCGCCGTGGCATTTTCTAATCTAACAAAAATTCAGATTACAAAATTGGGGAAAAAGCTAGCAATGATCTAAATCTGAACACCGAAAATAGTCGCAAGTACAACAGATTGAAATGTCGTCTCTCGCATCTAGGGGTGCACCAGCAAAGCACTAAGACATGTTGGTGAAGCAATCTAGCCGCGATGGTGATTGAAGTTGGAGTTATTACAGGTCTACTGTAGAGAGAGTACCAATTTGTTTGACGTCAATGTTTGTTGGAGAGATGATGGTGGCTGAATTTGGTGGCGACAACCGGACTTCGTGTCTGTAGATATAGAGAGAGTGAGTAGAAGATAGAGCCTTTGTTTGATCCTTTTTTAAAAAAAAAAAATAATATATTTTTCTCTATTTTTTTTAACCACACATTCTTCACTAAAATAATATTACACGTAAATTCAAAACTTTCAATCTGTAGATTCAAATCTTTGTAATTTGTTAATCACAAGGAGTTGTGATTGTGTGATAATCATTTGTGGTCGTAAGTAATAACGAGATACGGATATCTTTATTACAGATATACCATCACGTGTGGCATTTCGTACTTGTGAAGTAACTGATCTCACAAGTTAAAGTGTTGTGACACTTAAATAAACACATGTATATTTTGTTTTAGAACAAAACATTGGAAACATGTTGGAGAGATTCCACTTGTGGATAACTATTTGAGTGTCAGTGGTTAATCTCTAACGTGCGGTAGTAGAATTGGTTCTTTGACTTGAGGTCATCACAATGTCTTATAACATGACAGTCATACTTTGGTGATATTTGATGTTACTTTGTCAAGGGTCACTAATACGGTATCATTCGGATATATCAAGAATCATATGAAAGTTGTGAATGATTAATATATGATTCATCATTCTTAGATTGTAAGAGATTGTGATTTACGTTTCATTCAGTTAAGTTAATAACGAAATCATTGGCCAATATATATTCATAAGTCGAAAAAAAAAAGTTTTTGACTTATATTGACTTAATAGAAGGATGAAATATATGATCGATAATTGAGATTGACACACATTCATATCTCATAATTGATCAGTCCATATCTCATTATTTACTCTGTATCAGTCCTATCTCATAAAACACCCAATGGTGTCAAAAAAAAAAAAGAAATAAAATAAACTGAGCTATAAAAACTGAAAATAAAGCAATGTCTAATTAAAATAAAATAAGAAAAAAAAAATGCTCCATGTCCATGTTTCAAAGTGATCAAGTGATTGGGGGTTAGTGGTCTGCAGTGGAAACTATTATTTTTGTAGAATCTTAATTAATGTTAATAGTCATAATCCTATGTTGCATAGTGTTAGATTCTCTATGTTTACCATTATAAAACAAAACAGGGGATTGGATGAATTTTAAAATGGAATCCAATCAAATCAATTAAGGAACTTTGTAAGAACGCTAACTTTAAATGAAAAGTTGAATTGGGAAGTTACTTCCACCTTTCTTTTTTCACCTAACAATTTTTATAATGGCAATATCAAAGTGGGTTCACTCATTATATTTTTGCTTCAAGATTCTTTCTCCATTACTTGTTTGTGAAAGGGACTACTTGTCAAACATTTTGCATTTTCAAAGTGGGGTTGAACCTTTTTTTTTTTTTTTGGGTAGATGTGCCAATTTTGATTTTTCTTAAGAAATAATATTTAATTACATATTCTGACAAATCATTAGATATAATCATGTGAAATATGAATAATGCTATTCGAACAGGGTTTAAAAACAGGGGTCGAGATAGGTGCTGCGTTCACACCACCTGTGTGGGTAATTTATTTTTTTTCCAAATTGTCTAATGATGTTGTCCTATTTTTAAACTCTGTCATTGAGTCTGTTTGTGTAGCATAATTGGTAAAATATTTGTGTATAATCGATTTATCGTATTAAATATGTATTTACAGCAGATCTTGTGAAGTGCTGAACGATAATTAATATTATTATGAAAAAAATAAAAAATAAAAATCTAATTTATTAGACCCGTTCCTTCCTAGTAAATAGACACTCAACTAACAAGATAGTTCTTTGGTTTGACGTTGAACTTTGAACAAATTAGATTCTTGTCATTGTCCATCTCTCTGTCAACCATTCAATTATATATGTATGTATGTATTTTACTGTCAAACCAAACACATTCTATTAGTTGCATTGCTTGGTTGTTAAATCAATAAATAATTAAACAGCAATCCCTTTAAAATATCTTAGAGGAATTAACTACAAATCCTGTCCATTGGCATCTTCTCTCAATGGAATACTGTTCCCAGAATCTTGAATATTTAAATAAATATTCTTCAAACCATGCATTTTACAAGTTGATAGAGGCAACAATTCAATAATTCCTTCACAGATCATTCCCATGAAGTAATCCTCAAGAAATAAAATGTTTGATATTTCATTATTTTACCTCAAGTGAGTCTGGCTACTCATAGGCAGGAGTAAGACCCTTCGTTTTGGGAGGCACATGAGTGTGCAATCGACACTACGCTATGTAGGTATGAGGCGAAGCTTCAATAGGTCTTAGAATGACGACAACGGCGCAAGAAGCTAACTACTCAACGTGCTGCAACTTAAGAGTTAATATTGTGCAGATGAGAACGTGTTAATAAAATTCTCGTGCTGAGCGAGAGCCTAACGGCCAATGTCAAAGTCCAAGATTTTAATGAGCTACACCACTTAGTTTAACACATCAAATATACAAGTTAAAAAAAATCCCATCTGATACGTTCATCCTTTACTTTTTTTAATGAGTGATGCTATAAGTACAGGACTACACACGGCAGGGGTGCGTGGGGGAGAGTTTTGCCAATTTTTTATTCACATGGGGCCCATCCCCATGTGAGAGAAATTTAAAATCTAGTGAAAATTTCTGTTAAATATTTTCTGTACTCACAATTTTATTCTTTACAAATTGCTGTACTTTGTTGAGTGGACCATGACTTTTCCTTGAGGTAGACAAAAGCTAATGTTTGGTTTTGCCCAATCTCCATTTGATGTCTTTCTGGCAAGTTTTTCATCATGATTCTTCATAACAAAGAAATACACACCCATACAAGAATGAATTAAGAGAGAATTTTAATCACTTACAAAGAAATGCTTATTCTTTTCAAGAAATTAAACAAGGAAAGGTATTGAAGAACTCAAATTAACATAACTTTTGTATAATATAATAATTCAATTCAACATCTAATCCTGAAAATTTTCAAAAAACACTCTGCCCCAAGATCTTTTGTGTGTAATGCATTCAAAAAATTAGTCCTCCAATGTTACTCATGGCAGACGTTTAGTCGTCTACATGGATAAATGAATGCAACTTTTCCAGCTATGGCTCTCTAAGTTTTCATCGTCTTCGTCTTCCATGCTATCCACTCCAGTCATGGAAGTTGCTCGGGAGGATCCAGTTAAGTGAAGAGGTCCTTGAGGAGAACAGGATTGGGATATGCTCGGTTTTGAGGATTCACCATACTGTCGTTCTTCCCACAAACTTCCTAGTACAACAACAGGTTGATTCGTGGACATGCTTTGAACTTTTTGAGTATGAAGGCGATATTTCTGAAATCACGAAAGGCAAGGTCTGTCAACATAAGAAGGGAATAAGAGAAGATTTGCAAAATTATACCAACCTGCAAATGACTCTTCACTTCATCATTTGTGAGACAATCAACTTGCATAACTTCTCTGATCTGCTTAGGAGTAGCAACTGCAGAGGATGCAAAAACTCTCAAATGAGATGTGCAACGATTCTAAGTACATGTTTAGTACACAATATTTGGATATGACGAGATGAAATTTAATTACGACTAATATGTCATGAATAACACAAAAGGTGAAAAATCAATGAATAAGAAGCAAACACGAGGACACAATTTTGCTCGACTTATGCCTTCATTTCTCCTTCCATGACTAAATTTCGCTTTGCTTCAACTTACATTATCAAAATCTCTTCCCAATTACTCTCTTTGTGATAAAAACATAATTTATTTCAATTTAATTTCCAATAAAAATTGCAACAAGCATCAAACACACATGTAGTTCAAGTCATAACCTTGTGGACCTCCAATTTGTTGCATTGCATCGACAAATCTCCGATGCAATTCAGGCGACCAGCATCTCCTTTGCTTCCTAGCAGTTTGCTGCTGCTTTGATTGCTGTCTGTTCCTTAAATTCGATCCAACATTAGTTGCCAAAGAGGAACGTAATCTACTACAACTGGATTTCAAGCTCAAACCATTATAACCAATATCCTCCCTAGAATTCTTAATTTCAGGTGTATATAGGGAAAGCCCTGTCACTCCAGGCAATTTCTTCCTATCTTCCTTCCTCACCAGATAATTTTTACACCCCTTGAAAGTTACATATTCTTTTCCCATTGCACTATTTTTACCATACCGAAACAAATCATCCATCACGGGCCGACGAATTTCTTCTTCCACTACCTGTTTTACCAGAAAACAAAACAAAAAATACATAAATGGTATACACAAGAAATCAAATTAGAACAACTTCTGGTAACATCAGATTTGCTATTACTGCAATACCTTTTTTGTATCCAGTTTTAAGGTTTGGTTATTGTTATTCAAATCGAGATTCGGATATTGATGGTGATGATCTGAATTCCATAACTGCACAGAGCTCATCCAGTTCATTTTATCTCTATTGTTAACATCCTTTTCTGTACTGACCATGACCTTTTCATCTTCATCATCATCATCATCAGGTTTCTTCAATGGTATGAATTCTTCTAAAACTGGCTGAACATTTGATTTCTTGCACTGTTTTATCTCTTCCTCCATTGTCACGATCGCTGCAATAGAAATCCACACAGTTCCAAAATCAGGCATCAATATTGATTTTAAAAAAGAAGTTAAAAAAAATAAAACGAACCATTAATTAAATTCACCAAAAACCCATTCACAGGTATATTATAAAAATAAAAAATCAGAAACCCCAGCAGCAAAAGTGAAGGAAAAAACAACCCAGAAAGAAAAATTCATATCCATAACTCATTTCACATATTTTATACGCTGAAAGAATGAATTTTTCTAAGCGAAGGAAAAACATGAACTCACCATCTTTGAGCAGGAGCATGCAAAGAGGAAGCACCCGTTTGAAGGCATCGATTTTCTTCATTTCATCTTGGAGTCCTTTGACGTAATCATCAAGCTTTAAAACCCTTTCAGAAGTATCACTAATCATTGAAACTTCTGCAAGAAAATCACTGATAGTTTTGGGAATGTAAGTTTTTGTTGCTGATAATAATCTACAATTTAAACCCAGTAGTTCGGGTGGAATTGACGATCCCATATTTTTGCCAGAATTTTTTTTATTTCAGTTTTCTTGTGGTGAATAATCTTAAGCAAGAAGCAAATGAAACGGGGAAAGACAGAATTTCTATGTATTTGTCAATGTATAAATGTCTAGGTTGAACGATAAGTCTAGAGGGACAGAGAATGAAAAAAAGTGGCTTTTTCAGTTTTTCTCAATGTTTTAAAAATGGATGGACCATCGACCCCAAAAAGGGAAAGGATCAAAGGTCAAAAGATTGAACTGAGATTGAACCGATGATTTTTAAAAAATAAAAAAAATATGATTTTACAAAAATTACAAAAACATAAATTTAAAAATATATATATACACACATTTACGTATGTTGAACTGGTTAAACCTGGAACGGGTCACAGATTTTCCCAAAAATTGGCCGGTTTAACGGGTTTTGGGGCGGATTCTTAGTTAGGGGTTTTATAAGTCTAACTGGACCATTTTGGTCCCGATTCCTGATTTTTCAGGTTGAAGCGGCCAGGCTAAGCTGGTTTTTAAAACACTGGTTTTTCTTGAGAGAAGAATGGGAGGAGAGAGAAGACGAATTTAATACGCGAAGATTCTGTTGAGCAACCGAGTTTTGAGTATAGACGTGCAAATTATGAAAAACTCTACTGCGACTCGTCGATTCCTTTTATTCTTACATGGAAAATAGATTCCTTTCATAATGAGAATTAATGTAACAAAATTAAATCTCATATCGCACAAAAATAAAAATATAAATCAATCGATAATGTCTTAGACTACTCTACTTAACAAAGTTGACATTTTAAAATAAAATTTCAAATTTTAATATGGTATCAGAGTTCATTAAAAACTCCAACGAGCAATTTGATTTGATTAAAAACGAATACACATATTTAAATATTGGTATGTTCAAACATCACCATCGTGTAAGGACATATTAAGGGATAAAATTGCACATCAATTAAAGATACAAACATAGACCAACTTTAAGAGTTTAGACCATTTCACTAAATAAGATTAACATTCTGAGATGAAATCCTAAATCTTAATAAAAATAAGTAATTACGTTGTCTGATCTTGTTAGGTGGCAAACATATCTTAAAAGCATTCCAATCTTAGTGCAATCTACCAAAAATATCACATTATTGCAATTGTAATAATCTCATGTCGTTTGCTTTATAGATTATGATACAAATGCCAATCAGGTATGTTTTTTTTTCTCATGTCGCGTGCATGGTAAATGTGGAGTAAGAGCTTGAATTTTTTTTTTTTTTTTTTTTGACTAAAATAAATGGGTCTTTAGTTTGTCCAATTATTCTAAAAAAAATTTCTTTTTTCACTTATTTTCAACCACGCAATCTTTCATAAAAAAATATATACTAGTTTTGTTTTTCACACATATTAAGAAATCTTATTTAATATTATTGAAAAAAATATTTATTGTCAAAAACTTTCATAATTTACCCTTTTTTAATTCTAAATAACTAGTACTAAATTACTGCAAAAAACAGTGTTCTAAAAAACGTAAAACATGGTTAGACATGAAGACAGAGTTTCAAGCCCCATGAGCTGAAGTGAGCCTAAGCGAGGTTTAGGCGTAAAAAAATATTTTCTTATTTTTAAATATTATTTTAAATTTTTAATAATTTAATAATTAAAATAATACGTATCAAACATCTAAAATTATAAATATTATATTTACTTAATAATTCCCACCATTAGTCAATTATAAAATTTTCAAGTTTTTGAAATGCAAAAATTAGAATATTTTTCATTGTTTCAATTTTCAACTAAACATATCCTATTTAATAGATTTATAGGAATTTTATATATACTTTTGAAATTTGCAACAAAATTATAATTACATAATGTAAATAACACTACAATTTAAATCTTATTCAATTATTTAGATAAAATCATTTTAAATTTTTGTATAGATAAAATCTTTTGAAAATAATACATTTATATCTCTTTTCTTTTTTATCACACATTATTCAATAAAATAATATTAAACGTAAATCCAAATTTTTTTCTTATTTTTTAACTACGCATTCTTCATTAATCAACTATTCTAAAATGCATTTCACACACCGACCGAGATAAGGAGCGAGCGGCTAAGATTTCTACACGTTTCCCAATAAAATGGAGAAGCTTTTTACAGTCATTAGATTCCATTACTTTGAAGAATCTCCTTAAAACTATTATTTTTTAAATAATTCTCTTATTACATTGCAGTTGAGCATCTTCTTCCTTTTTGTCGGACACGTCAGTACCAATAAGTCTTTTATCGATAATGCCCATCCCATGATTCATTTTTCTAAGATTTTCAATATTTTTGTTGGTTAAAGTAATAGTAGGGTTGAGCATCTACTATTCTTGTTGGTCGAAATTATGAGTGGAGGTGAGCATGGATTAACCACATGATTACTATTGCTACGTTGGGACGATTTGAAAACCCTTTTTTTTTTAGTTAATTCTCAATTTCGAATCGAAACGTCGAAATTAGTTGGATTCGACCCAGCCTATAAGTGAAAAGATTTGACCCAACCTATAAGTGAGAAGAGAGTTGTGTAACAATATCAGGAGACTTTCAAAATTGCAAAGAGTTTAAATGATACATTAGAGCACGATGTTATGAAATCTCGTAACATATCACTTTCTTTTTTAAATAATAATCAGCTCGTCTAGACTACTCGACAAGACGATCTAGTGCCTTGTTATTAAATTGAAAGAGTTACTCACTAAGTACAGGGAATAACTCACATAATTTGTATAGGATGGCAGCATCCCGCGCATTTATGTGTGTGTGTTTTTTTTTTCAATTTTAAATCTGTGTTGTTGATGTCAAATTTCTGTACTAATTCTGTACAAATTTTTTGTACTTATAGACTGATTCAAATTGAAAATATTTGCACGAATCCCGAGCGAGTAAAATAAAATGTGTCCCTTGTGTTCATTTTTATATATATTGCTGTTAGTGTGCTGCCAAAGAGAATAAGATTCCTTCCAAACCTTTGAGCCAAATAATATCACGGAATTTTGAGGGCGTTTCAATCGGAGGGTTAAATTCATCGATGCTCATTGTATTTTATATTTACTGTACTTAATACTTAGTGTTTCAATGACCATCCAAATTGCCGTTGATTCACCATGATTATTTAACTTCATATAACATTTCAATCAAACCATCTGATTATTACCACAAAAAACAAAGACATACACATTAAAAAAATTCACACATAATTATTAACATAAAAAATGAGAAAAATGATTTTCAAAAACAAAAATAAAAATAAAAAACACACAACATGGTTATCGTTACATAAACTTAGTGTGTGTGTGTATGTGAATGAAAGTAGAAACAAATTTTTTGTTCTTGATTTGGGCCTGATTTATATTGTATAATTTTTCCTGATTTGGGTTAGTGAATTATTTTTTGTTTATTTTTTGTGTATGCGAAAGTGTGTGTGTGTGTGTGATTAGTTGTATGTTTTATGTGTTAGCAGGTTATGACGCACGTTATTTTGAAATGTTTTATAAACGTTGTAGAAATGATATTTGAAAATCAGTAAATATAAAAAATAGTTAGAAAAATTGTTTATGTGAAATGAACTTTTTATACAATTAAATTATTTATTTACGTGTATAATAATAATTAACATTAATTTATATATATCCTACATAATTCAATCAATTAATTCTTCAAGTTCATGCACGTATACTTTATATATTTTGGAGGCTATTCAATTACTTTAAAAATATTACAATTCAATTATTTATGTATGTGCATGTATATTAATTAATATTTATTTATGGATATATTAAATATAACATTAAGTTATCAAGTTGATGTACACATGTTTTGGGAGTTATTCAATTATTTTAGAAGTAAATAAATTATTCAAATTCATGAACACGTATTGATTTTCAAGATTATTCATTTTTATCATAAATTATTCTAGAAATATATAAATTATCAAAAATCATATAATTTGGGAGCTATTCAATTATTATAGGAGTAGATAAATTATTTATGTACACTAGTTTAATTTCAATATTATTCATTTAATCTACGATATAACGACATTTGTCTAAATGTATATAAATATAACATTATGTCATCAAGTTCATGTACACATGTTTTGTGAGCTATTCAATTATTTTAGGAGTAAATAAATTATTCAAATTTATGAACACATATTTATTTTCAAGATTGTGATTGTTCTCGTACAATCCAATTATTTATTTGCGTGCATGTTTAATAATTAATATTCAATTAAATATATATTGAAAAACGGAAAGTAAGGTACTATTGAAATAATTAAATTGTAGTAGGGCTAAAATTGTTCAGAAAATGATTCTCACTTCATGCAATATTTAATATATTATAGATATAGATTACCATGTATGTTTTTTTATTTTTGTTTATTATTCTCATCCTTTTTTTTGTTGTGGTAATAATTATATGTGAACTTTTTTAACGTGTGTGTGTTTTTTGTTGTGGTAATAATCAAGTTATTTGACTGAAACGTTATATGAAATTGGATATCTATGACTATAATAATGTGGCTCAAACACACCCTAAATTTAAAAAATATCAATATAATATATTTTTTTTGCTCTTTTTTCATAAATATTGTGCCATTTAACTTAACATAATAATAAAAATTTCAAAATTAAAAATTAATAAAACATTTTAAATATATAATTGTGCATATATGAACACCTACAACAAAATTTTTTTTTGGTGCCCCTACAATGCTAAGACCCTATGATTTCACTTAACTCGCGCAACTTAAGGGCTTCCTCTGAAAAAAATTTATATGTTGCAAAAAAACTTGCATGGACATTTGTTTCAAGAGTCGTAACATTTAGATATGCTTTTACATTTGGATTCCAATTTTTCAGAAGAAAATTAAAAGTTGGTTGTAATATTATTTCACTTTATCATCCTATTGCAACTTCGAGAATAATCATAATGTCTATTCTAATACAAAACGACATAGCTTATGCCAAACAATTAATATTCAGAAACCTTCTTCCCCTAAACGAAATTTTTAATAATTAGTTTTTGTTTTGTTTTATAAATAATAGAATGTCTAAACCTTAACATTGAAGAATGATCGTCTCAACACCGATAACATGAAACGCCGATTAAAAGGTGAACTAATTCTTGGTAGGTACCAAATTTTAAAAATCTACATCTCTTAATTATGTTCAACTATCGTAACAAATATGCTATATGTGACTATCTGACTTTTGTTTTATTGAACAATAAAGTTCAAGTAAATGCAAATATTTTTAAAAGAAACGAGAAGTAATTAAACAAGATGCATTCACAATTTTTCATCACAACAATCGAGTTCACTTTGCTCTTCTATATATCGATCCATTCTACACATATGACCATCCACGGTATTATTGAATTCTTCTTTACAACACAAAAAAAAAAAAAAAAATGGTATTCGTACTTAAAAAGTCTTGCTTTGAATTTATGAACTCTACAACCAATCAACCCAAAAAAACTAGTCTTTCCTTTCACAATATTGGGTTGATGAATCATTATAATTCGTACACATTTCTATGTCAAAACTACATGATTTTTGGATCCAAAGCAAGAATATGAAAACATGCCAAAATTAATGGCTTTAAAAAGGATACATGTGACATAACAATCTCTATCACTATAAAAGCATCTTTTACATTATGACAAACTCATTGTGCATGACATTTGATGTCACCCTTGTCTTGAGGGTATCTTTTTATTCAATTATTTTTAATGTTTTAAAAATCGGTTCGATCATCAACTCGAAAAAGAGAAAGGATCAAAATGTTGAACCAGGGTCAAATCAAGATTGAACCGGTGATTTTTAAAAAATATATACGCTTAAAATTTTTAAAAAATATACATTTACATAGGTTAAACCGATTAAATCGAGAACAGATAACGAGTTTATTAAAAATCGACCAGTTTAACGAGTTTTGGGGCAGATTTTTAATTGGAGGTTTTACAAATCTTACCGAATCGATTTTGGTCCCGATTCCCATTTTTCCCAATCGATCGGGCTGTTTCGATTTTTAAAACATTGTTATTTTTCCACCTTTGGTCAAAGGAAATACTTTTCTTTCTTGAGATTAATTACCCCTAGTTGTTGGTAGTCTTTTCAAGGGCAATCTTGTCATTTCATCTCTCAACACAATCATGCTATTTGCTCGTTATTTAAAACGTGTCCTCAACACAGGCCTCACTTATAAGAATGTATAGGACTAGTGTCAACTATTATGTCATTTTATTCCCTATTATTTTTAAAATATATTTTTTTCTCACTCATTTATAGTTATACATTTTTCAATAAAATAATATTACACGTAAATTTAAAATTTTTTATTATTTTTAACCACACATTTTTCATCAAAATACTATTTCAAAATGTATTTTGACAAAACATAATGAGCTCAAACAGACTCTATATATCATTTTAAATTATTTTATTTAAATTTTTTGAATTATTTTAGATAAAGTAAATTTATTTATTTAAATTATGTTTTCAATTTGATTATTAAAGACACAAAAAGTTACTATAACAGAATAGTCATCGTCAGGGGCGGACTCAGTTAAGGCCCAGGGCTTTGGGTCGCCCCAAATTTTTCAGCAACCTATTACAAACAAAAAAAAAGTGGCCCAATTATTTGGCCCAAAATGTATGATACAAGCCCTTAGCTCTACATCCAACACCGGCTTCTGCAATCTCCATCAACAGAGAATACGATGTACGAAAATTTCCTCAGCCCCTACATCCACGCCACCGACCCCTAGGGGCAGACCCAAGAAATCCTTGGACTTGTTGAAGCTTGTGTATACAATACAAATGATGTTTGGGAACTTCTCAAGTTCGGGAGTCGAGTGAGATATGTTGGATCCACCAATGCAAATGAACTCAGCAGTCGTTCTCACTGGTAACTTTTAGTAGCTTCTATATCTCTTTTTCTTGGTTAATCTATCTGCTTTTTCATAACTAAAACAAATTTTAGATTAAGTAATGATGTGAAAGCATATCCACTTAATCATTTTCAAACATAATTTAGTTTCTTAGTATATCGGGGTTACCTGTTAATTTATTTAATTATTTTTATTGCAGTTTATTGCGAGTGACTGTTGTGGCAGAGAATTTAGTAACTGGGCAGAGGATGAGGAGCCATTTATGGCTGGTTGACTTGGCAGGAAGTGAGCGTGTAGGAAGGGTTGAAGTTGAAGGGGAAAGGTTAAAGGAATCTCAGTTCATCAATAAATCATTGTCGGCATTAGGGGATGTTATCTCTGCTCTTGCATCCAAAGCATCTCACATTCCATTCAGGCACTTTGCTCTTCCCCTCCTCTCCCGTGTCGTGTCCATGTATATGTACTATTACATTACTATTTTGTAATCATTTGGTTTTTTTTGTAGATGAACATGAACTCAAAACTCACTCATATCCTACAGAGTTCTCTAGGTGAGCTCCTTAAATTTTATAACTGTAGGGAATATGAAATTTCCTTCTTGATGATGTGTTAATCAAATTGAGAAGGCAATAGCTCTTGGATTGTGTGGCTATTTAACTACGATTTATAGTAGATCATAAATTTTTCTATAGAGTTTCATAGCTCCATATAAATAATTATAGTTCAACTACAAATGTAGGAGGAGATTGCAAGACACTGATGTTTGTCCAGATCAACCCAAATTTGCAGGTGGAGATTGCAAGACACTTATAGTCAATCATGGAGATTGCAAGACAGAACAATTGTAAGGTATTTCATTTTAGTATAATGTTTATGTTATAATTTTTTTATTTTTTACTTTTACTAATACCACCCGCATTGAAAAAAATTTCTGGGTCCACCCCTTGTCATCGTTGATCTCGTAAGGAATAACTCACTTTACAAATTTTATAATTTGTTGTATTCTAATTTAAAACCATTTTTCATTTATTAAGTGAGACGAACATTAGATATTTTTCAATGTCAATTGAACATTAAACAAAGTAACAACATTAGTGACAATAAATATATTGTCTATCACCATGGTGCTAAAACACCAGTGGTGATAAATAATATTATTCATTTGGCTTTCGACTTTTAAAAACGTAGCATATTGATCCTTAATTTTTCTTTATAGCTACAAAATCAATAATAGGGAGGTAATCCGTCCAAATCTATGTAAAATCGTCACGTGTTCATCATCGTCCAATTTTACGAAGTTAGATTTTGTGTTTGTCACTAAATTCAAAGTGAGATACATTTTTATAAGCAATAAGTGATAACTAAATAAACATAATAAAGCGATTTTCTGCCTTTGTGGAACTATTATATAACTATAAAATAAGGTCGAGCACTAACTTGCTACCCTTCGAAGGATTTAAGCCAGAGTAATTGGTCGAGGACCAATGATGTAATTTTCCCAAAACAGGGGTGGGCGGGGGAGGGGGGGTGTTAAATGTGCTGCGTGTCAAATTTTGTAATATAGTATGTTTATAATGTATTTTTATTCGTTAAACAAGAAATTATCTATTAAATATTGGTGCTTATTTATTTTAGGCTAAATATATTCAAATCACAGTTTTTAGTAACTAAACCACATTTTAATTATATGAAAAATTCATAACCTTTAACCCCTCACATGAGGTGGGACCCACTTGTATAAAATATTTTTTATGTCTCAAACTTTTTCGTCGCATTCTTATTCTCAAATGAATATAAATGTAATTAAAATGAATTAAAGAGAATAAAGGTTAATGAACTTTAATGTGATTAAAATGTGGTGTATTTATGAAAAGAAAATGTGATGTGAATATAACCACACTTTATGTTAAGCATTAGTAAAATGACACTTTAATTAATTGGCGAATAAGTTTATGATGGATCCAAATAATTAAATTGAATTTGTCGAGTTGATGTATTATATCACTATTGTTTAGCATAAGATAATCATCGACACTTAGTAGACCATTTATCTTTATTGGACTATGCGCCACAAACTGCTCTTCATCGGCAATAAATACGTATACGAGAATTGTTTTACTAAGGATTGTTGCTCAACTTATATTAAGAAACAATAAAATGACACATTAATTAATTGGTGAATAAGTTTATGGCGAGTCGTAAAAATTAAATTAGATTTATTGCATCAATACGCTACACCATTAATTGTGCTTATTATCATTTTTCATACATTCATAGATTTTTAAACAAGAGTAGAACTAAAATTAAATTTTAGAGCGGAGTTGGACATGATTTTTGGTCGGAGTTAAATCAATTTAATTTACAAAGCACCAAAAAATAAAAAAAGAATAGTTTTATTGAACAAAAACTTACCTAAAGTTGTAGTCAATTTTGTCCCAAAAGGACCCCTAATCTAATTTCTTTTCAACAAGAGTCTCAATTTTTATCTCAAGTTAACGATTTTCTTCCACTTCAACTATTTAACACATGTTTTAAGATTTTTAGTAAATTTTGATAAAATCTAATAAAATAATTGGTTGAAAATTGATAAAAGTTGCGAGTCTCATGAAATGCGTTGTTAAAACTAATTGTTAATTTTGACTTAATTTTTTATCAGCTTTTTTGACTAAATCAAATAAGTGCATAATTATAATTCAAATTAAATGAGAAAATACACACACACACACACACACACACATATATATACTAGGTGCAAGTAAAGTGCAATGCACGTTTGCTTAGTTTATATTCAATAGTTTTGTTTAATAATTAATTTGTTATTAATAAAGATATAATTTTTTTTTTTTGGTTAATTAAGGGCGTGTCTGTGCGCGCTACAAGGAGGAAGGAAAATTGATTATGTTACCCTTTTTTTTTTCAAACCTACAGCCATACAGTGAGAGGATTGGTCCAAAGTTGCGGCTCCCAACGGCATAAATTGTGTTGCCAACGG